GGGTCTGCAAGGCCACAGTATGCACAGGGAAGCACTGAAGGGTTTTAGGCAAGCAAGGTAGTGACCTGACAGATTAGTGAGTTGAAAAGACCTCTGTGGTTGCCAAGTGGAAAATGGACTGGCAGGAGCAGGGGCTAAAGGTGGGATAACAGTCAGAAAGCTGCTGGAGAGGTGGGCCTGAGGGAAGAAGGTGGCTTGAAGTAGGAAGAAGATGGAGTTTAGAGATGGTCATGAGGTAACACAAGCAACAGGAGTAATAAGAGCTGCCAACACTTACTGAGCACCTACTGCGTGCCGTGGCTATCCATGATTACCCCCAGCGAGTCCTTACATCAACCCTCTGAGGACGGTTCTGTCATTACTCCATTTGTTTGTAGAAAGGTGAAGGGCTATGACCAGCAGATGCTAAGTCAGTGAAATTCATTACCAGGAGTGGAGTGGGGGGTCTGGTGACCATTCAAAGACACAAGGACCCCTATAAAAGTACTATGGGAAAGAGAATACATGGACTGAACAAGGACACACTGGCAAGAGACTCTTGAGGTCCCTCCAGCTTCTTTTTCATTGCTTTTGGGTCTCCTTTACACATTACCAAATAGGGAGATCTAAGGTGAGAGGTCAGGTACCTAGGAAGCCCTAATAACAGCTCTATCCCCGATTTCTCCTCTGCCGAGAGCCCCGTATCTACTGGGACCCCAGGGATAAACAGAAGTCTATGTCTAGGCTCCTCATTCTAGGTACCAGGTAAGTTTCCTTTCCAGAGGCCTGAGGGGGAGTCAGGGCTACATCAGGTCCCAAAGAGGAGGGGACCAGGCAAAGAGACAGACTTGGGATAAGGGGTCAGTGGAGAGGGGCAGTGGGGTGGCTGGAGGTTGGCTTCCCCAGCTTGGAGATCATTGGTACTTCTTAGAAATTTGGAAAGTCAAATGACCTTGGGAGACAGATGTGACCACATTCACATACCCCATATACATAGTGGGGACAGTTTCTGGCTTTCAGTCTAGGGACCATCACTGGCTCTGATGTGACAAGAATGACGCTCCTAGTAACAACATACAAATCATAGAAAAAGGCCAGACTTCACACCTGAACTGGCCCCCAAGAAAGAAAGGAGGGTGAGTTTCCAGCCAGTTCCCCCAGACTGCCCAACATACCTGCTCTCACACCACTGTGACTCTGCATGCAAGGACTATTTGTCCACTGCCAGCTGCCTGGCTAATTCCTACTTCCCCTCCAATGCTTGCCCCAGCATGACCTCCTCTGGCACAGTTTTATTCTCATGGCCCCAGGAAGTCCCTCTACCCCTTACCACATAATATCATCATCCTTTTCTGTGTATCTCTGTGGTACACACACCCCCTCCCCCCACCCCCTACCCCGAATACAAGTGAGGACCATCTTGTCCCAGCTTACCTCGCCCTGCCTTGCCCCCTCAAGTTGGTGTCCAGTAGAGAAGGGCCAGGGAACCAGCTGCTCCAGCCACCACTGATAACCCTCACAGCTCAGATGGAATATCCCACCCTCAGCCAAGTATTACCCCTATCTTCCAGGGCCAACATCAAGGCCTGGGGTAGGTGGCATCTCTTCAGGGACAGGTGATCTCACAACTGGCCCATATACCAACAGCTGGTCTGGGCTAGAATGGCATTTCTGTTGACATATGAGGATGGGAAATGCCCTCAGTAAGGCAGCTCAGGAGTCCCAGGAGATAGAGGCAGCAGGCAGGATGCTGCACTGAAATTTCATCTTCTGGTTACACCCAGGCCACATAGGGTCTCTCTCATATAGGCACAGCAAAACTGACACACATGCCCAGGGTCTCTCTCACACACACAACACATGCTGTCACACATAGATAGGATCTAGCACAGACTCTAACAGAGCTCCACAAACACACAGTCTGTCACACACAAGACATCCATCATGCACAGATGGTCTCATGCACACAGCCTTACATACACACTCAGACTCACATGCAGAGCTCCACATATATAGTTTCACACTTGCCACACACAATACACTCAGAGACACACTTCGAGTCTCACACATTGCATTGGTCTTACACATACTGTTGCTTTAATATACACTTTATCTCCCTCACAGTCTTGTACACAAATAGTTTGCCTCACAAAACACACAAAATCTGACCCTCTCATCCACAAAGAATTTCTCTGACACAGGGATGTCTCTCATATTTTCACCACACACGTGTATGCGTGACCCAGAGTCTCACATATTTTTATTCTCACACACATGAAGAGTCTCTCACACCCACACAGGATCTCTCTTACACAGATTCTCTCTCACACACATACAGCTTTTCTTTCACACATGCATACAATGTCACACACATACTAGATTCTAGTGTAGAATCTAGAATAAAAATTCCACTCCTGACCCACCAACTGAGGAGGCTTGGGGACCCGTGGTGGGGAGGGGTAAACAAAGGTGACAGCAGCAGCAGCGGCAGAGCAAAGATGGAGGGGGAGGAGGGCGGGCAGCCACTGGTCTCTGCGCAGGGAGCTGCAGAGAGGCAGCGCAATGCAGCTAGGCCAGCTGGGCAGGCGGCAGGAGCCCGGGTTCTAATCTCAGCTCTTCATTCAGTTCCTGTGTGTCCTTGGGAAGCCCCCTCCCCAATGGGCCTCAGTATCTTCCTGTACTCCCCAGGGTAGTCTAAAAGACTACAGTCTTTCTTTTAGGAAGCAACTGGGAGAGTAGCATAGGTATGCTAAGGGGAGACACCCACCAACACCCACCTTCATCCCTGGTACCCTCACTCCCCAACCATGCTCTACTGCCCCCAGCATTTCCCTGAGTCTGGTTTTCAATGGACATTCATTTGAGAGACAGTTCAAGACTTTTCAAGTATGGTTTTATACACCAATGAGACCTCAAGTCACACTGAGTGGCCTATTTGTCTCCACTGAGAAGAGGCCATCCCAGAGCCTAGGAAGGTCCTGTCAGAGGAGACGGACAGAGAAGGGGGCTGGAACATCCCATTGATCCCTGATTGTCTTGAAACTCAGGGACATTGGTCAGAGCTCTAAAGTTGAATCCAAGGAGGGGAGTGGAGGTAGAAAGTCATGAGGAAGCTGGGCCTACCCCCTGATTCCAGGGGCCAAGAGGAAGAAAATGCTATCCAAGGTCAAACGTGGGCTGAATGGGCAGCTGCTCTAACACAGGCCTTTTGCCCAGCCTGCTCCCACCCCCTCCCTAGCATGAGCTGGCTCAACCTTTCAGTTCCCCTATTTCTGCCCCTCCCCACAGTTCAGCAAGCCTCCAGTTATATAATACTCTGGCTCTGGTGGCCTCTGTAGGAGGAAGGAAGGGAAGAGGCCTCAGGGGTCCCAGTCCACTCAAGAATGACAGGAAGCTGACGGCCAGCTCAGGAGAGGATAGGGTCCCACGAGACTTGGGTTCAAGTGCTACTTGGCCTCTAACTCCCTGGGTGACCTTGGGCAAGATCTTCAGTAGCAAGATAAGAGGTCGGTACTCTCTCTATTGCTCCCTTCCCCCAATATACACACCTGTTCTAGAATTCAAGGTGTAAAATGCTGACCTACTGCCCCCTCCCTCACATGCCTTGCTGTGTTTTATCTCAGTAATAAATCTGCTAGGTCTCTACCTAAGTGGCTATTATCTGCCCCTGGGTACCACCACTTACCCGCCCTCTCCCCCAATGTCCTTCATCCACTGATTCTCTGCAGACTCCTCCCCTCCCCAGCTCCATCCCCCTGGATTTGGCACAGGCTTCAGCTGGCAGGAGGGAAGGGATGTGGAACTGTAAAAGACAGCGGGGCAGAGGCAGTGTTTTGCCTGGGAGTGGGAAGAGGGATAGCTCAGATACCAGAGAGGCTCAGAGGCTGGGCATTAAATTCCCAAGTCTGTCCCTCCCTCACAGGCTGTGGCTTTCTCAGGCCTCTTAGGACAGAGCCTAGGAAGGCCTGAAGAATCTCTTCCAAGGTAGCTGACTGCTATCAGTCTTTCTCTTGGATTTAGTGACTGATGGTCCAGTAGTAAAGGCCCTCAAGAGTCCACCAGGGCCCCTCCCCCATTTTATAAATGATAAACTAATATAGAGAGGCCATCAGAGGGGCCAAGGTCAGCAAGAAAGGACACCTGCTTGTGTCCTTTCTTCCTGACAACAATCTCCTGTCGCTAAAGAGGAGTGGCAGATAAAGACACACCCACCTCACATACCTTGTCCTTGCAGATTCCCCCTTAAAATCCCTCTCTCTGCCCAACCGCACAGGTGTTAGAAGGAAGCACAGGCACAAAGCCCAATGACCCCATCCAAGTGCCTCCCCTTTCCACCAGGAAGAAGGACATACTCTGATCTCAGGAGCAGATCTCAGAGGGATCACCACACCCCTGCCAAGAAGCCCAGCTATATGAACTACCACACTATTAATTAGCCACAGAGATTCCCCCCAAGACCACCTCCTCAGAATGGCTTGAGGCTGCTCCCTGGGGAGGGGACCCTCTGTCTTAAGCTGCCAGGCAGGCCTAAGGCCCTCTTCCTGGGCAGCTGGCTCCACACACTCCTTTACCTGGGAGGGAGGAAGGGTTCCCCACTTCTCTCTCACGCCAGAGGTCAGTTCACACCTTCACAATGTACATCTGCAAAGACACAAATATGCACGAACAGGCCCTCATGCACACTCAACATACACATGCTCACTCATTTCCACTACATACTTTACCCACCCAAATATACACCACCACACTTACATAAATATGCACACACGATCTACTCATACACACAAACACACCCATTCATACTCACTCATACATATTAAATTCGGCAACACAGGCAGACTCTTTTATACATACAAAATCAGTCACCCTGGCAAAGTCACCCCTTTCTCTCTCTTACACATGTACACACCCCTTCAGTTCTGAACTCTCTAGGTGCCACTTTTCAAGTCCACCCCTGCCCGCTGGAGGCAGAGATGCTGCCTCCCTTGCCGGGTTATTCTGATGGGTAAGTTGTCACTTACCCGCGCATAGCGGGACGAGTAGGGGTCCTCAAAGAGAGCCCAGATGCGCGGCTGCCAGCGGCGCCAGAAGCCGCCAGGCCGGCCATCTGGGGAGTCACTCAGCGCCAGTCGTTTGGTCATCTCTAGCTCGTCCTCACCGTCGCCTGAGTCTCCGGGGCCGTCGGCGTCCGCGTCGTCAGCGCTGTTGTCCAGGGGCGCCCCGCCAAAGCTGTCGAGCGCCTCCTCGGCGTCGCGGTGCTGGCGGTACGTCATCCAGCAGCAGGGTTCCACGTCTGTCTCGTCGATGCCCCAGAAGGCCAGCTCCTCCTCGTAGAGCGGCCCACACACGTCGGCTGGGCAGTGCAGCTTGCCCGTGCGGTAGTAGTTCAGGATATGCGCGAAGACGCCTGGGTGGCGGTCGAAGAAGAACTCGTCGGC